CCGCACCCACGGCACTATCAATGTTTCCGGTACCGGTGGCTAGTTGATCCTCCAGTGTTCGCTTTTCTTCTTCTAATGCTTCAATTTTGATCTTGTATCTTGCTTCTAGTTCTTCTGTTTTTTGGCTTTCTTCTAGAAGAAATCTCTGTAATGCATCTACAAGCTCTCGTAGTGCAATGATATCACTTTGTTGGATGTTTGTGCTTGAATGTGCTCCCCTTTCCGAGTTCTCAGAATTTGTCCCAAAGGATGTGTTGAATGCTATAGGATTTGTATATGATGTTTGTAGGTTGTCACTAGTTGCTGATTCTGCATTTTGTTCTTGATACTTTCGAATAATCTCGTCACATCGTGGGCAAACAACAACATTGGCGTCCTTGTAGTACCCTTGTATAACGCGGCTGTGAATGCATTTACTACAGAGTACAATACCGCATCTATGGCAGTTATAACGCGAGGAAAAATACCCAAAGGAATGGCCACAATCTTGGTATTGACAACACTTAGCGTTCTTCTGTGATTGCCAGCTATTTTTTGGTACTACACCTGTAATAGGCATGATCGACCCGGTAATTAGTAAACGTAATATTTATTTTATTCGCTCCTTTATACCCGGCAACTATGTAAGAAAGGAGTCACGAGCAAATCTATGCACGTATGTGGATTATTTTCCAATACTCTTTCTGGATTTTATGACTATCAAGTCGCCCCACAACTAGTTTTGGGATTTAGAAAAAAATGCCCCTGTATAACTTTGTTCTAAGGTTTAAAGTTAACTTATATATTTGTGTGCTAAATTCAATAGTGTATTTGATGTGATCTCTTAATGCAAGCAGGAGTATCTAAAAGGAATGTACATGTATATGGATTTTGTTGATGCAAGATGTAAAGGCGTGAGACTATATTAAAGAAATGTATTTTAAAATAAAAGTGTAACGGCGCTATGCAACATGTTGTGCAGTGTCTAAAATGCAACGAAACTTCAAGTTTGTTTTGAAAATAAAAACGCAGTGTTCCTTGCGAATTTATCAACTTTCTTTCTCTCTCTCCTTTCATCGTTTATTGGCTGACGCTATATCATTAGCTACTCAATTTTCACATTATTCCTGGACGAATTGGTTTCCTTGTCGGAGGATGAACCCTGGGAACCACAATTATCGTTGCCGTTATTACCACCGCTTCGACCCCTTTTATTGTAGCCATGGGTACTGCTATCATTGGAGCCAGATTCATTCATTTTTTTTAGTTCCGCGTAGCTCACATAGTTGAGTTGACGTGTGAGTTCAATATATTCTCTGACATCAATGAAGAGCCACACCAACATGCAGAAAATAAGAGAAAATAGAAGCCACATGCTATCAAGCATGTCACGACGTGCGGCATCATCATCCAGTACCGTGTTACACGGCTTATCGTCGTTAATACGTTGGTAAATATTCGTCAATATCACCTGATCACGAGCGAGCTTGCACCTAACTTTAGCCCATAGTCGATAGGCGTCTCTATAATGCTTGTAGTCTACGTAGGCTCCTTTGCTTTCACCAGATGGGACACTGCTCGTACGAGTCTCAGATCTGTTGTCCATTTGGGTTCGGCATTCCTTCTCAGGCCTCGGCATTTTTGCATTTCCAAACCCAAACAAGACACCAAGTGTTGTGTTTAAGCCAACCCATGCCGATGCTCGCGTAGTGTTGGATGCCGGATCGCCATGGAAGACACGGTGCGCGACGGCACTCTCTGACATTTCGTTCCTCCCCCCAGCTTGACGTATCAGTGTAAAGAGGTTCACCGATGACGCTGCTTTCTGAGATGATGGTGCATTGTTTTGAAAGTTGTCAGTACTTTCAATATGGTGACTGGCACCTGTAAAACGTGTCGTTGGAAACAATGTTGCAAATATTTCCTGCGCAGATCTCTGTAATACACTCGTTTGCATGCCGATGTCAGAATGTAGGGGCGGGACGTTTGCACTGAGTCTGAAATGAGGGCCATATTTTGCCCTTATGCCCCTTGTAGGCGGTTGCAAACCCCCTGTATCATTTAAAATACGTCGTGAGTGATGAAAGCAGGAACTATATGCCCTGCTGTGGCATTTTAGTCGCGGCTGCTGCTCACATTGCTGGTACCGACTGCAAAGAGGTACTCGCACAGAAGAATACAGGGTAGTTGAGATTGTTGGAGAATCAACAAAAGGAATTTTTGTGTTTAAAGAGTGCTGCCTCAGTACCCATCTCATACGGCTATGATACATTTCGATCGTTGCAACCGTCCTATGACTCTCGATAGCTGGAGATAATAGGCGCAGGTTGTTTTATTAACACAAAAGGCTACCTTTAGAGAAAGGTACGTTCGACAATGAGCTTCGGATATGGGTATGTGAATATTGTATTTGTACCTATAAATTCGTGGAATAAGCAGTAATAAGAAGTGTGCACTCATACTCCGTCTTCCCCTCCTTGGCATAATCATATAATATTGAAAAGATACAAAGGAAACACAGAGAGAAAAAAATTCAGAAACAGCTACAACGTGCACACTAAATAGGGTCCCAAAGGCTGTAAAGAAGCAACTTTACCTGACCTCAGTGAATGGTTTAACTATTTATTAAAAGAAAACGCATGGGTAAATAAACTTGTATCATGCATAAAAGCGATCCGTAGTCCCACCATCGATACTGCACGTGTGTCAGTGCATGTCAAAGCAACAAGGGACACGAAGGTCGAGTCATGCTAAACTTACTTCGAACTGGAGTTGGTTTTGGCATGGCTACGCGCCGTCACAGTGATCTTCTTCACGGACGGGTGAATGGAGCGCTCAATCTTGTCGGCCTTCTTCTTATCCGCCACGACGAGGGTGTAGAGGTAGCGGCTGCAGCGGACCTTGAATTTGGAGACCTTCGGGTTGTGCTTCACCTTCACGCAACGAGCATCCTTGCGAGAGCAGATGGCAAGAAACTCCTTCAGGTTCTTGATTTCACGCGGCATGTTTACCTTTATGTATTTGGATTCGCTTTATGACTTTTGCATAAAAGTGAATAAAATGTTTCAAAATGCGTGTAAGAAAAAAAGAAGTATTAGATCAATATGATAGGGAAAAGACATTTCATTTTTTTGGTATTATTATTCCACCTCCTAGATAGAAATCCTGCGCGATAGAGTACAGTCTTATTATGTGTCAATGAAATTCATGAGTTTTACATCCTCACACAAAAAGAAGTTCAGGAAACGTAGTATTCCATTGTGAAGATTAGCTGTAAAACACAGAAGCAAAAAAAAAAGATGGACGTCGCACAAGATGGAGCGCCCTTACACTAGAGGACGCCCCCTCGCTCTCCCCTTCGATGTCTAAACTTACGAAAAGGCAATGGACTGAAATAAGGAAGATGCAGAAAGGTAGCATCGGCGAGGGGGACATCACATCTGTGTGTGTGTCCATAAATGAAGTGATTCAGACGAAGGGAAAGATCCTTTGATAGTAAACAGAAATAACCAGACCTTTTTTAAGTATATTCTTTTCAAACCTCATCCATTCGTTAGCTTTTTTCCATGTAACAATTCCATTCTTGAGGGAACCCTAAACATTACAACAGCAGAAACGACAACCGAAAATACACGCGAAGCTAATACTCTATCGTGTATAAAAGCAAACAACGGCAACCCAGCATCACGGATGACTCCTTACAAAAGCATTGCGATATCTACCGATGGATAGATAGATAACAAAAAATCGATATCCATTAGTCGGGCGTCAGTCCAGGGTACAGGTTTACGTGCGGCCCGAGGTACCGTCCGGCTCGATTCCACGTTGGCGGAATCCAAAAGATTCTCTTCTTTTGCAAGATTGTGTGCGGAGAGAAGATCGTTCCCCGGCGGCGCTGCTCCAGCTGCTGCTGCGCGGTCCTGGAGAAGAACTTCAGCCGTGGCTCCAAGGAAAGGCGCTCTTCAAACTGGAAGAGCGGCGGGAAGCCCCATGGGGTCATGACCTCGCTCCGCTCAACGATGCGCTGGTAGAGCTCGAAGTACGAGGACATGGGCCGCCGCGTGAGCCCCATCTCGCGCATGACATCCGCAGCCGCGCTGATACCCGCCAACCGTGTGGCCGCCCCGCTTTCCATCTGCCGCGCCGCAATCTCGCGGTACGCAGGGCTCCGCACGGCTGACTCGTAAAAGCGAAATGCTGTGCGCTGCGTCATCTCCCCGCTCGCCACAGCCTCCGCGAGGGCTTTGAGGTGGTTGTAGACGAGACGCGACCGCACGTCACCGGGGTTGAGAACGGACATCGCGGTGTGACAGAGCCACACAAACATGTCATCGTTCTCCGAAAGCTTAGCGTAGATCTTCTTAAACCGTCTGCCCGAGATGAGTTGATCGTAGGAGGCCCCACGAATGAACTCAATGAGTGCTTCAAACTCCGTGTCACCGCGGTTAGCCAGTTCCGCTCGTGATCGCTCGCCTTCTAGGTTCTTCGGGATGTCCTGCACCTCACGCATGGCATCACCACCAGACGAAAAACGGACCTTCTGTTTTTCTTTCAGAGGGTCCGTTGTAAAGGCTGCCTTAACATAGTGCGCGGGAAAGTTGGGAGTCGGGTGAATAGGCGTAATTACGCGGCGTTTTGCCGCAAACACGGACTTGTCTAGCAAGAGACAATTTTGCCTGTACATTATGGCCTAGTTATTATATAGGTTTGTTCTACTACTTTTTCGCCTTCGGAAAAATTGTTATGGCCCATTAATAAACTCAAAGATTAAGCAGAGAAGATATATATATGCAGAACATCAATTCGTATAAAGGAATACCGAAAAAAAAAAACTGCTCGGCAATATTATTGCTACATGAAATTAAATAAATTTAATAATCAAAGCGACTTAGCAAACTGTTAAGTCATAGCTAGTTTCAAAATATGAAAGCATTGTAACACCTTTGATAATTCAAAAGCGACGGTTATATGAAGACCTAAATATGCATGTTGGTGCTGCAATGTATAGATATGTATATATAGGTATACTTTGAATTATATAATCAAAGTCAGCACCTGTATAAATGTGGGCATGCACTTTCTTTGCTAATATGTCCACATTTGTGAAACTACATCGAAATACAGTATAAATTCCACACTTCACCATTTTTATTAATAAATTATTATTTATATGCACTTGCTCTATTTTTATACGCCAAACTGACATTACCATTAGAAAGCACTTGAATGTATAGAATAATAAAAGAACTAAGCATCAGACATGAAAGCAAGGTCAAACAAGAAATATATACCAATAGCACGTCTCAAGTCTCAAAAACCAATTGGATACATGCAAGTTAAGTGTATATACCATGAACATTTTTCAGTTGAAATTGAGAAATACAACAAATACAGAATAAAAACGCACTCTTTATGAGGAAAATAGTATCAATGATATAGTGAAGATCACTCTACTAAATTGGACAATAAAATATGCAGCACTAAGCCTCTATATTAAGATAAGAGCAAAATATTTATCAAAAGTGAAGAGCAACTGAAGCGTATGTTGAAGTCAAAAATAAGTGAAAATTCTTAATCATAAATGAGGAAATTTTTTTTGTAAAAGTGAATCATATATTAAATGCCGAAAATTATCAAATCATAACATGAAAGATTAATAACAAGCCTCTTAAAACGGGTCCCCAGTTTCGCAGATGCGAGCATTTGTCAGCACAAAAAAGCAGTCAATCCACTTACTTAAATTATTGATGCTTTATGGAGTGTAAAAAAAGTATAAAAAAACAGCAAGGATTGGCTCTAATTAAGATTAATGCAAACCAACAAGCGTAAGTTTTGCTACAAAAATATCCTTGTGGGACTATCCGGATACCTTCTTTTTGTCTTTTAAAGCTTCCAAGGCTGAACACAATCCCATTATGGGGGAAAGATAAACTTGACCCCTGATAATATGCCCTGGTATCGGGGTTCCCATCATATGTAGTTGCTTCTCTTCTCGCTCTTCTACTTGGCCACCCTCGGCAACCTCACCTGAATTTTGATCATCCAAGTCTGAATATTCACTTGTTTGACTAAATAACACGTTCTGTTCATGTGCAGGTCTTGGAATGTATGGTTGATGTTCGATCATGAACATGTCATCCTCAAGATGCGAAATGTTCTCTGGGTGTGTGAGATAGTGCGCTTCTGTGGTCAAGTTAGCAGGGACATAGGCATGCGGTACTCTGACAGCTTGCCGCGCCATTGACACTTCCTCGGCTACGTTGAGTAAGCCAAGGAAGGAGACGTTACGTTGCGTTTTGTTTTTCGGAAAGTTCACAACGACAATGTATTTGGACACAATAAATGGTGTACTGAAGGAGGGAAGTAGCATATTTACCCCAGTATGAATCTTTGCATTAAAGTCGACAGCGTCCATTTTCATCTCGATAGCTAGCTCCCTCAGCTCGCCAGGCTGAATGGATACCTTACTCAGGCAGTTGTGCGCTACGAGGGTCCAGTCTGAGGATTCTAGCATTGCATAGCGAATGTTGGTGATCTGATGAACCTTTACATCAACATCCTTAAGAACCTTGCGGGAGTTATTGCGAACCGAAAGCCTCACCTTAAAAGGAATTTTACTCCTATCACTCTCCCCATCGCGCCTAGAGACGCAAATGATGCAGGGGTCGACTCTAGCCGACAGGTGGACTGACTCATCAGGTTGCTTTCCATGAACCCACCCCATGCACGAGTGTCGGTAAACGTGTACTTCGAAATCTGTGCGCATCTCACAATTCGCATGCGCTGCTAGTTGACGAAGAGGTACGACTGACTTGATGCGAAAATATGCCTCGGAAACGATACTATACTGTTTAGAGATCTCAAAAATCGCAGTTGCCATGTACTTGAGCCGAATGTAGGACTGGGTATTCACAGAAGTGAAGCTTGGAGGGAGCGCAGGATTAAGGGGTATTGAAAATGGAAACTTGTAGCAACCTGCGTCATAAGTTAAAGCCTCGCTGTCACTGTTGTTCATCGTTTTTGAAGTAAATGCGGTCCAGTGATCCAGATACGTTAAGGAATCCTTATCAGTCAATGAAGAGAAGGTATTTGATATCAACCCACTAATCTGCTCAACCCCCAGTATATTTAGTTTCAGCACTGAGAAAGTGACACGCTCTGCGATGTCAAGATGAACCTCACCCGTAAGGTTCTCACCTGGGCTATATGCCTCTTGCAGCATTTGGCACTTGAGGCGTACCTTCGATTTGTCTATTTCTGTCATTGTTCAGCCTTCACCTCCCCCTTGCGAAGCAATTAGATTCCTTTTTTTCGGACTAAACACGAGATTTAATTTCTTTCTGTTTTTGATGGAACTAATAAAAAATGGGCAACACCATCATATACTTGTTTGCGTCTTTACACTCAGCAAAAACTGCTAAGCTATCTTAGTTGAATCGAAAATGACGCTGATAATATCTTTCTATAGAAAACCTATGCTACCTAGATCCAGAGAAAAAGGTACAAATTGTGGAAGCGCAAATGCTTATGGGTGAACTATTGTATGGCATAATATCTGTCCATAACACAAAGTATGAAAAAATACTACGCAGACCCCTTACACAAGTAGCGTCGTCAAAGTGCTACAGCACAAAACAGGTATTTTCTCGCAATATAGAGAGGAAAAGATACGGATATCGATACGAATACCTTCATATTTAAGGATAAGCCAAATAAATTCTTAACGATGAGTGAAAGTCATTTTTCCCTCTTCATTGGTATGTGATAGGGTGGAAACAGAAAGCACCGCACTATTCGATCGCATCACGCACCCGATTTCCCTGCATCTACCGCCTCATCCTCCACTAGCAAATCTTCGCAAAAGATGGGTACTCGCTCCTCAATGCACGCCAAGAGATTCTCTAATGTACGGTTCTTAGGAGAGGTAAATTGTGGAATAGGTTCGCTATCCTGCAGCGTAATCATCTCATTGATAAAATCACGGCACGGGTCGAACCATGGGTGTCGCAAGGCCTCATCAGCGCTAGGGCGCTTGTTTGGGTCGAACTGAAGGAGCTGTTCAACTAACTGCACCAAAGGAGATTTCTGTGGGTTTGTACCGCTTTTGGCTAAGGTATGCGAAGAAGAAAGAAGTTTGACAAGCGTTGATGGGCAAGGACACCGCTCGATGTACGCCAAGGTGTAGTTCTTCGCATTAACGCTTGCCTTTTCGAAGGGCTGCCCACGATCAAAAACAGTCGCTGGTGGAGTCCCGATGAGATAAAAAATGAGGTTGAGCTGATTTGCTGAGTCGTTAGGCTTCCCAGGGAAGAGGTGGCGACGCAGCAGGAGCTCGCCTAAAATCACCCCAACACTCCACACATCACTGGGGTAGCCATACTCTGCGTCCAGGATGATTTCCGGGGCCCGATACCATTGCGTAACGACGCCAAAGGACAGTTGCTCATCAGGATCGAAGAACCTACTGAGACCAAAATCACACAGAAACACCTGTGAGTTGTAATGAATAAGAATATTTCTTGTGCTGACGTCACGGTGGAGGATGTTGCAACGATGCAGCGCGCGGATTGCCAAAAAGAGCTGGCAGCTGATGTAGCGTACGATATTTTCATCGAGTGGGATATGGCTATTCTTAATCACTGAGGAGAGGTCCGAGGGGATGTAGTCCATCACCACGTACACATCCTTCTCCCCGCTCGTGGGACGAAAGAATAATCTACAGCCCACGATTTGCTCGCAAAACTGCAACTTCTGTAGCACTTCAATCTCTCGCAGCACACGCCGGGCCGCATCTTCACTTTTGGAATAGTGCGGAATTTTCTTAAGGGCTATCAGGTCATCACGGAAGGTGGCTTTGCAGACAGCGCCGTAGGCCCCCTGGCCAACAATAGACTCTACTTTGAAAGTGGGGGGCACATCAAAGATAATAGGCGTACTTCTATTGTGCATTGCTCGTTTTTAAGTACTCTTCCTTTAGAACGCACTAAATTTTTATGTATGACTTCAATCAACTAAAAATATGCATACAATGAGGATGAAAAATATGATGGCTTTTACCAGCCTCTAAATCACTCTGAAGATTCAATGGAGCGACGCAAATATATTTATATACGCATACATAATCATGCCACAAGAAAAAAATATATAACTACCCCCCACACACAGAAATCCTTTCATACTTGAATCCTTGTAAATATCTGAAAGCTAAACCTTCAGTGGGAATGTGTATGGGATGGGGGAAGTAGATTGTAATAATATAGATTTTCGGATTACAAATAGATAGATATATATATGACTTCATCCTCTTCACTTAAATAAAATTGAATTAACACTGCTAGCGTTTTAATCATAAATAACTATATACTATTTCGCTTATTCGTCTTGGTGATAAATTATTCCTATCGGAAGTTAGTATCCTATTTTATTGAGTTCCTACAACTTATATACATCCGGGAGTTGATGTGGATACGAAATATCCGGCGCAAGAGTGAAGTTTTCCTTGATTGTCCGAGCAGACACAAAACGCAGCAAGAACTGCGCACTACCAGGCTTGTCGTTGGAGCCGCTAAGCCTGGCCCCACCAAACGGTTGTTGCCCGACTACAGCGCCAGTACACTTGTCATTAATGTAAAAGTTTCCAGCGGCATAGCGAAGGTACTCGCAGGCTTCCCGGATCGAAGCACGATCATGCGCAAAAACGCTGCCTGTAAGGGCATATGCAGTTGTGGTATCGACAAGCTCACACACATCCTTCCAGAAGCCTGGAGTGCTGTCATTGTACACAAATACAGTGACCACGGGGCCAAAGATTTCCTCACGCATGAGCTGAGACTTTGGGTCTTTAGTTTCGATAATGGTTGGCTCGACAAAATAGCCCTTCGTACTGTTACAGTTACCACCCGCCAGGATGGTATAGTTGTCTGACTCCTGCTTGGCAATATCGATGTACTTCTTGTGCTTATCAAAAGCTGGTTTATCGATGACAGCACACATAAATGAACTGAAATCATCAGGTTGACCCATCTTAATTTGTTTATGGGCCTTGAGGAGCAACTCCTTAAACTCCCCCCACATACTCTTCGGGACGTACGCTCGAGAGCAGGCACTGCACTTCTGGCCTTGATATTCAAAGGCTGCTCGAATGGTATTGGCGACAGCCAACTTAACATCTGCAGAGGGATGAATCAAATGGAAGTCCTTACCGCCAGACTCTCCAGAGATACGGGGAAAGTTCCTGTAATTCTCAAGCCGGCTATACACCTTTTTGTTGATCTCGCTGAAGACCTTTGTGGAACCGGTAAAGACAACACCAGCCAGGCGCGGGTCTGAGTTGACCACCTGGTCCATCACCTCGGGCTCACAGGGGACGAAATTGACGACACCTGGTGGGAGCCCTGCCTCCTCAAGAATCTTTAAAACCATATAGTTCGATAGAACCGCACTCGGCGACGGTTTCCACACCACCACGTTCCCCATCAGTGCCGGGGCACCCGCAAGGTTTGCTGCAATGGCGGTGAAGTTGAAGGGAGTGATGGCGGACCAAAAGCCTTCAACAGGCCGGTACTCAGTGCTGTTCCACACACCGGAGTTACTCACAGAGTGCGGCTGATCGTGGTAGAGCTCCGAGGCAAAGTGAACCCCCCAGCGTAGGAAATCGCAGGATTCCGCTACACAATCAATTTCCGCTTGCCATGGATTCTTGGACTGGCCGAGCATCGTAGCTGCACGTAAATCGTGGCGATACTTTGTTGATATCAAGTGAGCAGCTTTGTAGAAAATGGCAGCACGGTCTCGGAACGGGACCTGGCTCCACATTTTGAAAGCTTCCAATGCTGTATCAACTGCCTTCTTAGCAAGCTCAGGAGTAGCGTTGTAGCTCTGGGCAAGTTTAAGGCTATGGTCGCTGGGTATATACCTATCAATCACGCTGGATGTGGTGTATGACTTTCCACCAATGACGATTGGACACTCTGTAACAGTTCCACGAAGCCGTTTGCAGGCCTCCAGAACTCCCTTAGCGGATGCGGAACCTGGTTCAAAGTTGTCCATGGGCTCATTGAGAATAGGCGGACATTTGGCGTAGCCATAGACAAAGGGAAGGCTTCGGCGAAGCATCTTCTTTTATTTAAAAGTTAGTGAATGTGATTTGGGTATGCGTGTAGTAATAATAATAGTGGTAGGAACTGAGTTATTTAGGCAGCTCATCAGAAAAGTTTGAAATAGATGCAAACGATATACGGGGTAAAATTAAAAAACAGTATTAATAATAATATATGCACAACCCAAGAGAATGAAGGAGAAATAAAGAAAGTGATAAGAAGCAACAAATAGCAGGACATATTTACTCATGTTGATAAAAAAATACACAAAAAAAAAAGGAAGCGAAATGATGCAATTTACAAGACCTGGATTTCCGATTTTCTCTATCATAAAAAACAATACACACACAACACAATGACATAAGACTAAGACGCACATAAAATAACGCCTAAGTAAATAGTTTTATTAAGGATGTCGGAATTTTTTTAAAAGAACATTATTTTTAACTTCCTATGTTTGTATTCAATGCAACTCGGCTACCTTTCAACTTATTGATTGATTGATTGATTGATTGATTTATATAAGTACCTTCAACTGCAGGTTTCTGCACACCTAATATGAAGAAAGCTGAAAAAAACTGAACCCTTCCAGAAGCTCAAGACAGAAAATATCTATGCAGAGAAATCATTGAACATTCATTAACCATGACAACTACAACTACAACTACAAGACTTTCCTTTCAACACTTTAAAACTAAAAAGTGACTCACCAGAGCACGCTAGAATAAATCACCAACGCATGGCTGTTATTTCCTTTCTAGTGTAATCAACGCTTCGTAGACCTGCAATAGTACAAAAGAGAAAAAGAAAAGCAGAAGAAATGAGATGCTATTTTAAGGTTTGAAAACCCTCAAAATCACAGGTAAATTGACAAATTAAGCTGTTTCATTTTTCCCCCTTTATGCCCATATTATGTGGAAAGGATCTCTCACATGGCGATACCCTGAATTAGGAGGGAAGATTCCAAGAAAAAAAAAAAGACGCCGAACCGCTTTCATTAAAAGGAATTTTCGCGCATCAAACTCCTACTTCATTGGGCAATCCCGCGAAAGATGGCCTGATTTACCACATATATGACATATCTCCCCTCCACTCATGGGCTGAGAATTGGATCGAGAACGAGTACTATGGTGACGCTTTCGATCCTCTCTATCATGTTTTTCTTTCTTTTTCCAGTACTTGGCCTGTTTCTTCTCGAGGCTCTCTAGCAGCTTGCGAGATACCTTCATTATGTGCAGGTAGTTACACTGGCCGCCACGAGCACAACTACCTTCGAGGTCCTCTTTGCAACACGCCTCAGCGAAATTGACTACAGGAGAAAGCTCTGGAAGGATAATAATGTCGTTGTACTTAGTCTTCTTATCGCGCAACTCCTTAACAACTCTGGAAGCAGCAGCCGAGTCATCAAAGCGAATGTACACGTTACCTAGCAAGTGGTCATTCAGATTACTCACAACACGCAACTCCGCAATACGGCCGTATTCCATGAAGGTGCGCCAAACGCTTTTGTAAAAGTGTTCAAAATGCTTTTTGAGATACTTCTTGTCAAACTGTGTGAAGGGCCATTGACGATCTTCGATGTGACCGTCCAAGGCCGCCAGCGGGATCGGATACATCATCGGAAACAATACCGTTGGTGAGGTGCTGGGCCGTATATGCAGCTTCGTGCAATTATCACCATGCCGGCACGCGCCCATTTTGCTGAAAAATAAACAGCGATCGTTGCCTTGGTACATTATCGCCCTGATCGATTGTCTGACGAGAAGATATTCTACTTGACTGATTGCTCTTGCCAAGTTTCAAAACGTATGTATAGGAAAAAATGTTTAGACCTATATATTTATTTGATAGTTATATTAGAAATAATTATTTTATTATGAACTTCGGTTTAATTTACCTCAGTATCTTCGTCCGGCACAGGTCGAGGCAAAGAGATGTAGGGATTTTAGAAAGCGTCTATTCGGAAAGATTGTCTGTAAAAAAGCGAGAAAAAACGCGATACAACAAACCTATATGTATAGAGAAAAAAAAGAGAGAAAGCAAAAAGAATAAATAGACAAGCCTACTCTAAAGGATGTTTTCAGAGACAACGAATAGTTTAACTGATTCAAGAACAGTAAAAGCTATCTCCATCAATGAGTGAAGAAATATGACACTACAGTTACATGCCTTCCTGACTGGATATTACAGAGAGGACGGATTGGATGCTTTCCTCCACCTCAAGCAGGGTAGAGTTACGGTCGTTGTCATCCTCAGAGATGGAATAAGACCTGCTATTTTCTGAGTGGAGAAATAACTCATCACCGATATTGTCGTCGTCTGAGGCGGCATCATGTCGAAAGTCGGTACTAATTTGGTTTTTCATACAACAGGACAGCCTTTCCTTCATGGACAATGAAGCCTTCAGTGTGTTACTGCTGTCTGTAGCAAATAGTTGCTTTGAATACGAAAAATCCATTAGTGGAGAGAAAACGTGACCATATGCAACCTGGGTGCCAAGCTCAACAAGGGCCTGTGCTAGGCTCTTATTAACTTCCTCCAGTGCTAGCCGCATACCATTCTCTCGCTGCTTCGCACGACCTTCGGCGCGGATGAAAGGGTTGTCCTGGTGTGCCTCTCGCGTCAAAAGCGACCCATATGCACCATTTTCTAACGCTGTACTTCGAGCCTGTTTCTCTATGGCAGATTCACTTGCCAGCCAAACATAGTTAACATCACAGAAGGTAAAACACCGACGCGTTAGGCACCTCACGCCGTCACCACCAGAAGCATGCTGTGGCCTCAGTTCAAGCTGTGGATCCTGCTCACGTGTATGGGAGCACCCCGCCACCGCGCAGAGCACACGCTTCAAAGCCCTGCTGGATACTACTACCACGATGTAGTCTGCAGAATCAAAAAAAGTGTCCAAGAAGCCGAGCGACTCCAATAAATACACCGCTTCGGGTGTTTGCATTAGCAACGAACGGTCACAGCGAAGAATGTACAAGTCCCTTCCCCAGCCGCTGGACATGGTTTGGTCTGGCTGCTTCCCCAAGGATTTCTTAGGGTTTTCAGTGATCCTTTCGCACACCGGCAGCCCGTTCTTCGTGCGAGTACGTAACTTTTCACTGAGAAAATCCAGGACCCTCACAGCTTCACCAGTCTGCACCAGTGGGAGGGCTTTCTCTCCAGTCCCAGCACTACAGCTTTCTTTATTCACTTTTTTCCTTACTTTGATTCCTCTCTGGGAACGGAGTCGAGAGCACAGTCGTCTGTGGAGGATAGTGTCCTCCTCAACTTCTGTGAACAGCATACCACAGTGCGGGCAAGTCTTTGCAAGCTCAACAGCAGACGTCTGGCCGAAATCAAGAAACGTTTGGGTTAATTGCAGTGCTGTATCCTTTGTGAAATTTCGATTGCGCTTATTTTCAAGTCTTTTGGTTACACTTTTCTCTTCTGGTGTAGTCGAAGGAGAAGGTAGTTGGAGAGAGGGCCGCGGCCAGTGCTGTGAAGGCTCACGAGCGCACCAAGAATCAAAAACCTTTACAGTACTCCTTGAAGATATACGCTTCGGTTCGGATGTTTCACATGACAAAAAAGGATCGGGGCATGGAGCTTCCTCCTGAGAACCAGGAGTGATTACTATGGACGGTTTAGGTGATAGTGAAGAAGAAATAGGTTGATGCTCTTGGTGAAGCCTCTTGAGGTTAAGTATGGTGGCAACAGTTTCATGCTCTTCTTCTTCACTATCTAGATCTTGAACAAAATATTCCCCTCGCTCTTGATATATGGGTTGCTTTTTTGAGTTATCGTGATGTTCTGCATGATCATAGCTAGAATGGCATGCCTGGGGGAGAATCACGTCGCCCTTGCTCAACAGAGGACATGGTCGGCCTGTCAGGGTATGTCCTCCTATTTTGTACGCAGATTTGGTAGAGTCTTCAAAGCTGGACGATGAAGATACTTCGCTCACACGCTCAGTCGGCGCCACCTCAGTCGATGGTGGGTTACAAATTCGCGGTAAGTCGTCATCCCACAATGACCTTGACCTCTTCAATATGGGAACATGTGTTATTTTCTTATGGTTTCTCACCAATGAAGGTTCGGAAGTGGCTGCTGTAGGATCCGGTCGATTGAGTCTCACAAACGGAATAAGCGATGTCTGTCTATGCATGCCAGTGCTTATTTTTTAAGCACTTCAGCACACTCGTATATGGTCTATGTAAGCGAGAACGATATCTATCGTGTTTCCCTTTATATGACAATCTTTTCCTTGTTTAACTAAACTAATGTCATTAATAAATGAATAGCTCAAATACTATCTCCAAAATATGAAGTGTATCTTGATTTCAAAGGGAATTTTGGTTGACGTGGGTGAGTCGCGTACCTGTACTTTATATTGTCAACCCTGATGCGTATATGAATCAATAAATAATAAATTCAATATTTGCTGAGAAATTGAGAAAAAAAGGAAAAAATACAAACACATGAAGGCGTAGCAATGGTCACAGGATCTCAGAATGGAAAAATTTATGTCGTTTTTTACCCCCTTTACATTGATTGCTAATTCTCAGTGTAGTAATTTCAAACCACTACTTTCCTAAGCACGTACATATCGAACTTCAGACGACTCCTCAGTCGTACACTGAGAAAAAAAGAGGTTTTCCCACAATTTGTGTAGTAACTTAATACCCCAAAGGCTGAGGTTTATCCACCTATAACTACTCCTCAATTAGCTCAGGGCTCCCATATGCGTGAGCCCATTTAAAAATGTTCTCATAAACTTCTTAAACAGAATCTTCTACTCTGAGGGAACTTCGATATGCCTTTAAAAGCTCAAAACAGAAAACTGATCCACGATAATATGCAGTTCACTGCTGTGGTTTGCTATGTTTCCTGGACTTATCAACTTTAGCTCGCTGGATACGAACACACTTCTGAACGTATTGCAGTGAACTTGGCATCTTAAGATAGCGAGCGTATTCAGTTACAGGCACGTTTAGGCCGACTTGAGGCTTTGCACGTGCTACTTTAGGAGCAATTTAAGTATTTGTGGGATCCATAGGGGTTTCCTGCTTCGCTGCGGTCATAATGGCAAGCAGATCAACCTCGTTGTCACATGGTTTGCCAGGCCATTCATCGGAATCATTATGTTTCAGCGCAGACATGAGTTCCTCGAGCTTCTCCTCGAGTCCAGGTGTGAAAGAACAATCAACTGAATCCGTGTGAAAAGCAACATTAGTAAGTGTGTTGCCCCCTTGATCTGCCCCAACCACCATACTATGATGGACACGGTCAATCTTATATGGTAATAACTGATGTAAGCAATTGAGAAATGTGAATTAAAAGGGAGTAGTTGATAGCGTAAAAAGCCCTTTATCCTCTGTAGGTGGGCTCAATGCATAACAAACAAAGAGTAGCACAGATCAACAAAGTGAATATCTGCCATTAGTGTATATAGAGAAGTATGAATTAAAGGAAATTCATCAGTTTTAAGCTTCCAATTAAGTTGCTGTGCTATAGCACAAGATCATCCTTCCATATATACCTGTTCCCCCTAATGGGCCCGAATACAATTGGTTTTCGTTTATTTTAACCGCTTCATAATACTGTTCCGATATGCTTCGAAGTCACCATCAAACTTTGTAATGTGCTCGTTCTCGCAAACGTAGATATCATCACACAGGGACGTAATAAAGAACTCATCGTGGGATATGACCAACAGGCTCCCCTTATACTCAAGAAGTGCTTCGATGAGAGCGTTAACCGTGTCAATGTCCAAGTGATTGGTGGGCTCATCCAGCAGAAGCATATGTGGTCGTGTAAAGGTAATCCAGGATAAAACGAGGCGCGACTTTTGACCACCAGAAAGTGTGTAGATTGGCTGCAGTGCGCGTTCCCCAGAGAGACCCATACTACCAAGATGCGCTCGCAGGCTCTGATCTTCCATGTGCGGGAACTTGGACCTCAAAAATTCGAGCGAGGATAACTGCGGGGTGAGACTCTCCAGGTGATGCTGAGCAAAGTGTGCGATACGGATCTTTTTGTTTCTCACGACAGTGCCAGCACGCGGCTCCAATTTACCAAGACATATATTCATCAATGTAGACTTACCAACACCATTGGCACCGACCAAAACCATGCGGGAATTGTCATCGATGCTAAAGTTAACGTCCTTGAAGAGGCTAACACCTGCTTTGAAGCCGAACTCGCAGTCCACAAGTTCCAGATAAGATCCCGTCACAAGTTCTGGCTCAGGAAACTTAAATGCGAACTGCGGATCCACCACGACATCCGCCACCAGCTCCATTCGTTCAAGCGCTTTGATACGCGATTGTGCCATCCTCGCGCGATTGGCGTTGTAGCGGAATCGATCAATAAACGCCTGAATATGGGCCCTTTGCTTCTCCTGAGTTTCATATTGCTTTTTCTGTTGACGCTCTTGTTCGACTCGGGTGATCTCAAACTGGTCATAATTACCCGTGTAGTAATGAAGCTGCGTGCCAACCAGATGGATGATCTGCTCACAAACGTTGTTCAAAAAGGTCCGGGAGTGAGATACAACGACAAACGTCTTGGTCCAATCCTTGAGGAATTGCTCCAGCCACAGAACAGCGAAGAGGTCCAAGTGGTTGGTCGGTTCGTCCAGGAGAAGAATATCAGGCTCTACAAAGAGCGCACGTGCCAGCGCCACACGCATACGCCAGCCACCGGAAAGCGACTTGGTCGGACTATTCATCATTTCTTTAGTGAAACTGAGGCCACTCAGTATTGTGGCAGCGCGTGACTCGGCACTGTGCGCGTCAATAGCATCCAAGCGCGCATACACTTTGTTTAGTCGACTGTTGCTCTCATCGTCGTTACGCTTAAGCAGCTCCTGCTCTTCCTTTAACAGTGATTCACGCTCTACATCAGTTACGAGAAGCACCTGGAGTGGTGTCTCGTCACCGGCTACGATTTCCTGTTCTACGTGGAGTATCTGCACGAAGGGACTGACGCCCTCCAGCTCATGTTCAGAAAGAGCCCGTAGCAGCGTTGTCTTACCGGACCCGTTGCGCCCGACCAGTCCGTACTTGTGCCCGGAGAGCAAAACCAAGTCAGTATGGTCTAAGAGAGTTTGCTTACCCATGTGAATGTGTATGTCTTCGCAGCGGATGTCAGAAGAATAGTTGCTTCCTTCGTACTTATGATGCAACTTCGTGATCACCTGCGAGTTAATGACACCGCGCTTCTTCAAAAACTCCTCGTATTCCTCAGCCATCATGGCTTTCTTCTCATCTTCCTTGCGCTTCTTGCGTACATCCTTAGCCGCATTTCGCTTTGTTTCCCATGACCAGTCTTCGTTGGTGTTCGCTACCGCAACCTTACCCACACCCTTCATCATTGTGGCACGCTTGAGGCTTTCTTCGTACTGTCGACTAATGTTGACTGCACTGGCCAATCGCTGCGTCTCTTTGGGTTTCTGTGTGACACCCTCTGAAAGCATCTTCTCGGTAATTGCTTTGACACCCATATTCATAGCATCCCCTGATGGGAAAACATTGAATTCCTTGAAGTAAGTATTCAGGGTGGCCTCAATGGTTTCCTCAGGTAGGTAGGACTCTGGAATTGTCTGACCTTCCAGCATGCACAGCAAATAATTCAGTACACACAAGTCGAGCTTTCGCAGGCCCATTTCGGGTACAACATCTTGAAAGATGGAAACTACAGCAGGATTGTGCTCGTCGAGAATCGCTTTGAGCTTCACCACATCCATAATTATGATATCCGTAGGTACGAAGATTGCAGTGTATGCTTATCTTCACTTTGGAACTTTCGGAAAAGAGAAAATCAAACAAATTACTTTTTCCAGCGACTGAAGAAACTTTTCTTAAAACATAATCAAAAAAAAAAGAGGAGGAACTCGAGAACCTAGAAAGCACACAACTATGCATTTTAGCGCTTGCACCCGATTTCTCACACATTTCATCATATACTCTTTTTGTGAGATAAATTGATAGCGAATCTTCCTAACAAAGAAGTGCACGTCATACGAGTACCCCTATGGTATACTTGCCATAGAAGAAAGAGAACGTGAAAAGTCGAAAACTTATTTTTTCTTGCCAGCAGGACTGCTGGCGCCAGCGCCCTTAGCAGCCTCTTTCGCTCGCTTCTTCTTGAAGATGATCAGTTCTTCCCACTTATAGTCGTCAATAGCGACGGGGTTGAGCGGACGCCCGGCCGCGCTCATACGATCTCCAGCTAACCAAGCTTGCTCCATCACCATTTGAATAAGGTCCTGCGCACTAATGCCCTCAATCATAGGCGGCACATACACTTCACCATCAAGCCATACTACTTCGATGCGCGGTGTGATGGGGTCAATCGAGTAATACAAAAAGATCTTGTCATTCGGAAACGGTGCGCGGGCACTGAGAGCACGTCGGTAAAAGTCCAATGCGGCTTTCTGAATATTATGCCCATAACCAAACAAGAAGGGCGACACCGTAACGTTAATCTTTTCCATATGCATAAGGATAAGGTGCCTGTGCATCGTTTTAGGGGCCATTACTACCAAGGGCCGCTTGGAACCGAGGTGCTCAGGGATGTGCTCCGGATACTGTACCTCACGCTCCCACATTGTCAGCGAAGCAAGAGGGTTATGCCATGATTTAAAAAGCCACTTGGGCTTCGAATCCTTCGACACATACTGCACCTGAGGAAGTGGCTTCTTCACCAGTTTGCCTTGCTTGACGGATAGGTACGCGAACTCACGCCCACCACGACCATAATCGGTCGGGCATTTAGCATGCGCATAATGTTGATGATACATGCTCGCAGTTTGCCCCTCTCCCCAGGAAGAAGGTGTGGCTTGATTGTACGTATATTTATTGTGATTACCACGCCACATAGCGTAGTAGGGCAGTGGGTATATGAGACCACCAAGATTGCGGATGTGGGGTCGCAGTCTCGGCTGTCTTGATAGACCAATCTGCGCTGGGAGTAACCCAGAGGATTTTAAGTGTTCTAATGAGTAGTGAGCTGATGGATTTGCCATGATCAAAGAGATGAAATCTATAATGTTTCCTTCGTAGACACTTAACTAGAGTTGCAAAAATTGAATTAGCTAACCTCGATGTGTGAGGAATGTGCCTGAGTCAAAATCTCACTCTTTGAGACGGGAATATAGGAAGAAACCATGAGACAATAGATTACACGAATGTTTACAGAGAAAAAACTTAGTATAGCCATTTGCTCAACGCTGATGTTATATTTTTCCCCCCTCATTCTGTGCATTGTGACAAGCGTACGACGGCTAAAAAATGAGAGAGAGATATTTACATCACGGCACATGCCTCAAATTGGACTACTCAAAAGCAAGCCCATGTGAAGCCAGCAGTCTTTCCCACTCTTCGCGCTCACGGTCATATAAGCACTTTAGCGCTTGGTGTCGCCACTCCTTTTGGGCAACAAGCTCCATCGAATCTACAACGCTTTGTTCATTCCCTGAGTTATCGCCAAACATTTTCTTACCACCTTTTCCACTAGTTAGTGTTAAACGAGAACGGGCAAGTGTCTCCTCTTCATTTAGACGCAAGCGCTCCTCCCGAATAACTTCATCACGGATGGAATTAAAGATGTGGTCGGGTAGATTGTCTCTGCGTTTATTAACATCGTGTGGAGCTCCGTACCTGCCCTGTGGACGTACCCCGCTGATGTACGAGTCTCTGTCCACACCGGTAGGAAAGTATCGAATTGGTGCCGGCATCTTTGCTACGATATGCACCTGGGGACACAAAGAGCAAGAGTGACAATTTTGCTTATAATAAATAGCAAACAGTTTATAGACCCCAATGAACTTTATGATTCTACAAAGTACCTTTACGTTGTAAAGCGTAGTATAAAATATATGAAAAAAAATAATGATTTTGGTTACATTAAAGTGTTTATTACATGCAAACACATGTCACAAAATTGTGGGACCTACGCCTTTGAAAGACTCCAAAACACCTACGGGGATACCCAAGACGGTGGTTCATTTAGTATGAGATATATTTTAAAAATTCCATCTAGATGAAATTGATGGATAATTTCCTTTTGCACAGATATGATCCCTCGCAGCAACAACAGTAAGGAAAAATTATACATATATATTATACTTAATACCGCTTATTATCCCAAAAATACATGCTTGGCGGCTACGATTTTTGTATTTTCTTACCCTCAAAGTGTGGTTGTGGTACAATCAAGCGCATCAAAAGAGCATCACGCTCATCCAAATCTATGTAATAATCCTTAACCTCCTTGACAACCTCAAACCCAAACTTCTCGTAAAACGACCGGGCTGATGATCCCACCTGCATGTGAAGAGTCACCTCTACAATGCGATATTGAGTCTCCCTTCGGGCATTATCGAGAACTGCTTCTAGCAATCGCGACCCAATACCCATATTTCGATATGGTTTCAGTACTGCGATAGTCATAATGTACAGGCGGTATTCATTTTCTGTATCGGTGAGTTCAAGGCGACAGGTCATGTCACCAACAAGAATGTCATGATAAAAAGCTACTTGATTGTAAGATCCCAGACCACCTCGGACGTAGGTATCGTAAAACTTATCGGAGTACTTAGCAGGCAAGCAATATTCATTCGTAACACGAATACGCTCGGTGAGACGTGGATCACTTAAAGAGCAGATGCGAAGAGCACTAGAAGGGCCAAGCTTTTTGGGAACAAGGGTTGATGCTTCCACCATCAAGCTGATGATTTATCTCTCTTCAAATGTGATTATACTCCTACCAAAAAATATTCTAACCATTTGATAGGAAGTTGGTATATCAGAAAAAAAAGCAATGGAAGAAAGATGGCTCTTTTCACATGTCATTTACTGTATTACTATTTTTTTCCCCCATCTATCCTCCAGCCGACACACGGACGTTGTTTAGTATAGTAAATTATAAAATTGCACATGTGGAATATTTGAGTCACCATTATCGAATGACATACATTTCACAGGTTACAGCGGAATTTTCTTTAAAGAAAATGTAAAAAGAGAAAAGATCCTCTTTTAATGGATTGTAGTGGTAATGGAGATCCTACTATGATGAGATATCCAAAGCATTCGAATATGGTTAGTCTTGGTACATGATTTTTTTTTATTTAAAAAAACAAAGCAACAGGAAATGCGTTTAGTGAAAGAAAAAAACGCTAGATTTTGTAAGCAGTGTATTCTACCGTAAGAAAATAAATATGATGTCCTTGATGTCCCTTTAACTACGTATACGTCACAGGAAGGGTTCACTCAACTAATGGAAGATCCCTCTTGAGTCAAATGTTGTTGAGCTTCCTGAGGTAGTAATGATTGGGAATGACGGCTGCTTTCATCCTCCACCCCTGTAGGATCGGGATCGGATTGTCTTTGAATGCTATATTGTTTGCTGAGAACAATTGCCTCAAGAATAGCCTGTGCACCTACAGCAAAACTGGCCTCCTTTCCCCCACCTTGCTCAGGGCCCTCTGAGCGTTTATTTGGTAGATTTAAAAACTTCATCAGTTTATCATGTGAAGCCTCTACCTCAGCCTTAGGTCCACTCTCGACCAGTTCATGAAGCAACCACGCCTTTAACCGTTCAGCCAAGTTGGTTGCCGATGTGTGTGAATCTAAGGGTGCGTGCCTAACAATGGTGGCAGATTTATTTAGATCTGTTGTGGTGTTTGCTAAATTCTGCTCTCCTAATCCTTCCTCGGGGTCATCACTAGACAACTCAGCGGTTGACAAATTTTTCGAATCTGTGGTCACAGAAGTGATTAAATCTGGTAGTGGTCGAGGAAGAGGTAGAGAAGAATCTATAGTATGCTTGTCATTGCTTTTGCTAACTGTTCGGCGCTCTGGCCGATTCAACTCCACTGTCAGCTGCTGCTGTAGATCTGCAATCTGTGCTTCATAGAAGGCCTTGGTGCGCTCGTACTGTGTTTGAAGAGTTTTGATCTCATCCTTGTGATGATTTTCAACTGTTTTTGCGTGGCGCTTCGAACGCTCAAGCTGCTCTTTGAGATCAGATTCAGCATGCCGCAGAGCGTCGATTGCCACACGACTATTAGATAGCTTACTAAGTTGCTCCGAAATAACTCTTCGGGACTCAGAAAGTTGATCTTCTACATTTTTTAGCTTGGCCCGGAGCATCTGATTGTCTCTTTTTAGCTGCTCTTGAGTTACTAAACTGTCGTGAAGACGTGCCATCGTTGAGTGGTCCCCCACTAAGTCGTGTCGATGCGCGGATGAAGAAGTAAAACTATTGTGAGGACTCACCCTACTTTCGTTACTGCACTTCTCGGATCCATCCTCTCTCGAATCACGTTGTCGTTGCTGTGGAAGCAAACTTCGGTTCTTGGGCGTCGCTTTCGCTACTGCAGAGCGCTTTCGGGATGAGGAGAGAGACCCGGGTGTGACAGCGCAGATCGTTTGTTGCACGGAACACGATTGAGGTGTTCTAGTAGCCAGGAACTGCTTCGTATAGCTATTGAGGGGGCTTGTGCAGATTTGCGCGTTTGCAAACGATTGTGTTCCAACCTTCATTGGATGACTTTCATTGGGGTCTTCACTAAAAGTAGGCTTTGAATTCATCAGAATAGGCTCCGGCGGGTGAACACTAGCAACCGGTGCGGGGCTCTCCATCTGTTCCGTGGATGTATGTCGCCCAAGTGATTTGGGGAGCTGTTGGCGTTCTGGGGTAATGACAGATCTACCAACGTCTTGGCTTCTATCGTGCTGAAACCATGCATCATTAGGAGACGAATTATCGAATTTGATATCTCGAACTCCAAATTCTGCGCTCTCTGGTGTCATACTTTCAATCTTATTTAATTTTGTTCTACCTCTTTTGGTAATGATTTCCGTGGCGGCGGGAGAAGGATCAACTTCTGCCACAGGCAGTCCCTTATAATCACCAGTGCTCACGCGATCAGGATAGTGCAGGATCGGTTCTTCATCCAAGGTCAACAATGCAACTTGCCTCTGTGCCACCAGCTGGCGATACCCGTTAAACTGTGCAATTGGGTTATTTCTCAAGTTCAGTGACTGCAAAGAAACAGCCCGTTGCAGAAACAGAAGCTCATTGACACTTTCAATAAAGTTGTTTGACATGGACAAAAGGCGCAAATGTGGCATTTCTTCTAATCCAAGTGTACTTACAATGCGATTGTCGTCAGCCCTGAGGGTTTGCAGAGGCAGTCGCGAACTTAAACCCATAAAATTAGTCAAGCGATTTGAGCTTACATCAAGATCACGAAGATGCAGAAGTGAGGACACACCATCAAGGTTTCGCAACTTATTATGAGAAAGGTTTAAGCGAGTGAGCGTCGAAGGCAAGCCTGTGATTTGGCTGATAAGGTTGTAACTGACATCGAGTTCACAAAGGGAGCGTAGGGCACAAAGGTTATTTAAGTGCTCGATTTCATTGCGAGACAGGTCAAAGGAAGTAATGAGCGCGAGCATACCTTGTATTTCATTGTCAAATTGAGAATTCGCGTTTGCACTCTTACACGTGCTACTAGAAAGCAATGTCGAATTGCCAAAAACTAAACTTAGATCGATTTCACGGATACCTTTGTTTCGGCCAGAGATGTGGAAGCCATGACTTGGCTTCCGAATGCGATCATGTGAAGAGGACACAAAACTAGTACTACATCCGGATGAAATATTCATTTTTAACCGGTACCTTTGTGAGAAAGAGTTGAACCGAGGTTTGGGGACTGAGACCTTGGATTCACTAAGAAAAAGAGTGAACAATGCACTTTACAGTAATATATTGGAATTCTATTTATGTCTCGTCTTTTCTCTACGAGACAGTCTAGGGGTACAAGAGTTTATTGGCTAAGAGTAAACCAGTGTGCTCAATGAAAACGATGTTTCAGCCTCCATATACGAAATTAACGCGTGGAAACACAAGCACCTCCTGAATACCACAAAAAAAATTGCTGATTTACTTGCTTCAACTTCTTGAAATCATGGTGTCATAGATCTACGAGATGCTTTGTGGTAAGCAGGACAGTCCCAGTAAGAGGTACAGATCAACTTTCCTTACAAAAGGCCTGACGTGAGAATGAGATTCTTACGACATATTTATAAGTGATAAAATGGAAAAACGGTCAGGCGTATTTTAATAATTTAAATTAAACCGGAGCCCCTCTTATATTACATGGATGAGAAACGGCTTCATAACTACATGGAAGGGAGCACTGTATGCGGCACCGTGGGTATGAAGCCTATTTATCAGTAAGTTGTTGTCTCATGTTCTAGTTATGGTGTCAATGATTTGTCCGAATAAATATTGTCTTGTAGATCAGTTCCTGCTGGAGATGTGTCTCAATGGCAGAAGCTACTGGTGAAGAGCTGTCAGGGGTACACAACCACTGTAAACAGAATGATGCTCAAAACTAGGACCTGCATATTTGTGGATCATATTTTCTCCTTAATTACCTCGGGTTCCACCAACTGTTTCATGTCAGGACCGCACATTTTTTCGACGAAAATTAATGATGTCAACATCTATTTTGGCGGTGTTAGATGATGAAAACAAAAAGTAATAGTTGATTTAGACCTCTCAGAAACCCTTGAGCGTTTTTCACATAGACACCATGTTCAGTTCGGAGTACCTCCATTTTTTCAGTGCTGATGTACTTTGTTAGTACGAAAAAAGGTGGGGCTGCATAAATGAAATATTTAGAACATTTCGGAATTGCGGTCAAATCCAGGGCCTCACCAAGTAAAAGAGCAACGATACAATCTACAGATTACAAATATGATGTAAGACTTTGTGAAATGTTCATGGCAAACTCCTGATCGAAAGCCGCTCTCTTATGGCAAGGAAAAAACAATATCGACGTGGAAACTCCCTGTTCTGCTTGATTACCAGCTAGGGCTAGTGAACCCAAAAGAGATAAAATACACAAGATCACAAATCCACAATACAAGCATTGTGAATTTGGTTGAGCATGGTGGGTTGGGAATGTGCTTCTGCTAGGGAAAGCCAAGTGGAGTGAGCTGGAAAAATTCCGTTAAAAAAACAAAGCACATCAATATACCGGAAGTCCCTGGAATCTTTTAGGTGATTGATGGATGAATAACGGCTGGTAAAATCAAGAAGCTCCTCCTTCCCATGCATAGCAGCTGACAGTTTCTCTCTTTAGGCTCTGCTTGGGCACCCAAACGCTAATATGCGCATGCAATGACCATTTTTCATGCGGTAACAGTATTCTTAAACGAATATATAAAAAAAAAGGAGGCTTACTACGTAGATATAGTAAACGAATAAGTAGTTTCGCTTTGAGCTGACACTCAAAGCAACTGAAGCACAATTAAACTCTTTCACTTTATGTAGTGGTATCGGTTCATTCTTACCATGCATTTTAAAGGTAAATATAGACACTTACAGAGCGTAGACTAGCAAATAATCTCTATATGGTGTGAATTATATGCTTTCTATGAAATCTATTTCTTCCCCATTCCTCGTAGCTGGTTACCAGATGTATGCTAGGTTTTCAGTTTAAACGCTCAAACACGAGTCCGAATGACGTCTTCCTTGAGAACTGGTGATGTTTCCACACGCTTGGTGAGTCCGATGGATGACTTTATTGGAGTTTCAATATCCTCGTTTCCCTTCTTCGCAGCGGCAGCCACCTCGCTGTCGCGGCTGCAGCAAAAATATTCGTAAGGTGAACGGAAAAGCATATCACGTTTTGCTTCTTTATGAGTAGATACAAAGTACTTGTAGCATGCGCGTGTATAATGTTGCCCTTTGCAGTCAGAAATAATATCCTCTATATCGGCCGCACTGGGACGAACAGGGGGGTAGTCCTTTCCGGCTGGATTGTTCTGATCCCGTTGCAGCATGAGACGAAAAGCAGCCTCATCGCGAAAGCGAAAAGGACATCCATGACAGTCCTGTTTGTCCACAATTGGAGGAAGATCCATAATTGTCGCACATGAAGCAGAACTATAGCTTGTCTTTTTTCCTTCCATGCCGTAATTGTGTCGCACATTGTATCCGTAGGAGGTATTGGAAAACGCTTCCACCGATCCTTCACCTTTCTGGGTCATGAGCGTGGCAAAAAGTGTGAGAGAGTCTTCCATGCTGAGTCCAATCGCCTTCAAAAAGAGTCCGTACATGAATCGGCCGTGGTGCTTAAGGTGTCCCTCACGGCGCAGATGCAAGTCAATTTGGCGCATGCATAGTGGAAAATGAGTGAGTGCGAGACGCTGCACGTCTCCTGCTTTCACTGACTCAGTTGTCCCTTCCTGAAGAGTGTCCAAAGGATTCGCAATAAATTGCTCCAAGAAGGTGTCCAGCATGTGCATCACTGTGAGCTTCTCTGACTCCTGGTCATCTAGCTTCTGTTGCTTCATTCGAGCGATATAAGCCTCATGCAAACCTCGGTTGAGCTCCCCTCTAAATATCGTTAGAAAGACTTCCTGGACCTGATCTCGGAAAAGAATGGCCTTCCCAGAACGACACAGAACGCTTCGATTTCGTATAAGCCGTGTGGCAAGCTCCAGAGGAACACTGTAATAGTATTCCTTTTTAAGCTCTGTCTCTTTCTGTGCATGAGATTTAGAATAACGGTACTCTAAGTAATCCTGAAACACAGAATCATTTATCTGCTCTTCACTAAGCGGATTGCAGGGTAAATTGTTTTCTTCCATGAGATTCACAATAAAATGAAGAGGGTTTTTGGATATGCTCAACTTTAAACGCGCACATAGTAGCATTTCTTCCGTCTTGACCAACCACTTTCTCCAGCGTTCACTCATACAAAATGCGTAACGACATAGTAAATGGGATACGAGGTCCTCATCTTTGTCAAATACTACGACTGCATTAGAATCATGAGCTCTATTATTCCCAAGACTTCCTGATCGAGCAGCGGCACTGCGAACAGATGAAGAACGCCGATCAGGCGTGTAGCCGGCGGCACCCTCATCACCTTCATACCCCAAAACTGTGCCTCGTGCGTAACCACCTGTGAAAGAAGAGCGTTCCTTCGGAATACGAGTCCCAATGGTATCCAAGATGGTGTCATAGCTTTCTGCCTTTGGGGAATTTGAAAGCTGATCAATCCAGGCCAGAAACTCCATGCGCTTTGCGACAAGCGCCTCTAACTCAAAGAGGGTCATGTTGCGATTAGGCCGCCGCTTATACATTAACTCCCAGTCAGATGGGGTCAAAGCTTCGACACAGGGGCTCGCAGCCAGGTGCGAAGTTACTTCCTTGGAAGCCGATGTGCGGACGGAAATGACTTGCATTATGCAGTAAAGCTCAGGCAAACGAAACGCAGAATTCAAAACCCTAATTCAAATCTTCAGTACTAACCTTGTTTTATTTAAGAAGTATTACTTCTCAGAAAGGGGAAATGATAATGTAAATTTTAAAATCTTTGCTTCTTTGAACTCAAATGGGAACCAAGAATTGTGTCAGAAAAGTATCTCTAGTTATGTTGCGACACACTCTTGAAAAATTTTCCTAAAAAACGCATGTTTTTACGGCTTGGTTGCAAGCACATTTTGCTAGAATTCCTTTTAAAGACTCACACATCTTTTCATCTCATCGGAGTTAACAGTATTTTTCAAGGTAAGTTTTAAATTGTGCAGTGATAAAAAAGGCTAGCCAGGTCCTTCCTTCAAATACAACTAATATCACAATGTTTTGGAGAAAAATTCACACAGTAAAGGGAAAAGGTAAGAATACAACTCTCTAAAAAGAGTATTAGTTTAGCTACAGATGATCTTTCAAATGGTAAAAAAGATATGAATCCAAATTCCTTCTCAATGCTGCAAATTCATATATACTTTATTCTTTCTGAATCATATTTATCGTTTTCGTGGCGGGATCTAAACCATTTTCTCCAAGGAAAGGGGCCCCCTATCTTTCACTTTTTGGTAAATGATGTCCAAATAAAATAACTTTATCCAAAAAAAAGGTGGTTCAAAAATCATTTATATCCCTGAACTATGCGTTGGTAGCTTGCCGACGCCGCACGTTGTATCTTAAAGAAAAGAGGGATGGTTCACGCTCTAAATCGCCATCACTCCCGGCAACTTGAGTTGTATAAACTTCCATCTCTTTGTCTAAATCGGGATTATATTTGCGCACAATGCATTTCGCTTCAGCAACCAACTCTTGACGTTTCTTGTAGAGGTTTTTAAATTGCTTATGCTTTGCAATAAGTGACATGAAAAGGGGAAGAGCGGCACGCAGCTCCATGATAGCCTCTTGAAGAATAATCAAAGAAACATACAGTGCCATAGGAAGTGAAAAGAGGATTACAAGAGCTGTACGTAAGTCGGTAAAGAAAAAGGTTAAGAATGTAATGAATAGAACAGCCAAGGGAACTAAAAAAAAACCCGCTGTGAGTTTCAGGGAACCTTTAACGTCCGCGCCGACCAGCTTGACTTTACTTTCAGAAAGAGCCACTTTGGCACGTTTGTTGGAATAGTACTTAATAATGCATCCAATGGGTAGACCAATAATGAAAAAAGGAATGAGTATAACGCCCATTAAAAAAAGTGCAAATGCTCTTCGAAGGAGCAAACGAATTTTAGCGCCCTCTTTGCCGGGTTCAACGAGATGCTTAAGGGTTGCCGTCTGGCTGTCTCGTACTAAAAGAGCGCCACAGAGCTCATTATAGTTTGTAACTTTGGAACGAAATTCAATTAATTCGGGGGTATCCCTTTCTTGATCAATCAAAGAACTGAGCCGGCGCATAAGCAACAGGTAGTCTTGTGCAGAGAGCATGCAGTTAACAGGCTGATAAAGCTGACGAAACGAATGCAAGAATTTAAGTGTGGCCCAATCGGGGACATTAATTGTGACAGCACGAAGGGCATCATCCAGTTGATTCAAAAATATACCGGTGGCTTTACGTTTATCAGTGCTAAACATATTCACGAGCTCTTCAGGTGGAGTAATTGGCTTGCCAAACTCCAGGTATGCTCGACTACGAAATTTGTGTCCATAAAAATAGGTCAAACCGCAGGGCACAACCTTTACACTAATATTACGCTCGGCAGCACCTAACGAAAAAAGTGCCACCCCAGCTTTGAGTGGAAGAAGTGATGTATGATCGTGGGAACCGCCCTCAGGAAATATGGTAATGCAATGGTTCTTTTGCAGAGTATTGTAGACCTCAGCATACATCTTTGAGTGATCAATACGCCTCGAGACTTGGTAATTAGTAGGTTCGGAAATGATGTGGTCTGTCTGAATAGGAACTGTTACCTCAATTTCTGTGTCAGAATGGATGCGTATGATTTGTGCGGTGCATCTGACATCCGGTGCTGCTGTCCATATGATGACATCACCTTTATCAAGGGTCGTCGTAAAATGTGTATCCTCGCCGATCACCACTACTCCATCCATGTGCACGAGCCTTCCCTCGCCGGGTATCAATGGAACATCCTGGGGACGAATCATTGGCACAGCGTTAAACATGCGACCAAAAAAGCCAATCAATCCTCTATCATACGACTTCTTTGCCATGATAAAGCGAGGGTCTCTCCCACAGTTAGAGTTTATCATGAGTGCATCTATGAATTGATTTTGATGATTTCCATAAAACACAACAGCACCGGCAGGAGGTATGTTCTCCTCACCCACGATGGTGACTTCACGAAAATACACGTTCTTCAGGACCCACATGATGAACCCACCAATCATGCGAATAATTGTCTTGTGGAAAGTGCTCACTTGTTCAACCAACATTACCTTGTTTAAACGATCGCGGTGATCTGGCCACTCATCAATGGGTATTTCTTTCCCGCATTCATAGCAAACCGTATACTTTGGGCGTGGCGGCGTTTCCCTGATTTGGCTTTGCGCAGTCGCACTTGGCATATTGTTATCATCCTGTTGATTACTTTCGGATTCAGATGTAGAATCTTTTCCTAATGGTATACTTTTTATCGAATCCATCTTCTTTGAGGGTTTCCGCTCAGCTTCTGGAGACTGCAATTCTACGCCTGAAGAAGTGACAGGAGACGCATTCTTATCAAGATGTTTTAAGGGTTCAACAAATAAAAACTTTACGGACTTTTCTTTAGGATCACACATCCTAATGGTATTAAATATGTTTGCTTGTTTTTCGAGGTGTAAATAGTTTCTGCTTTATATTCAAAATAGTAGAAACATAATAAAAGTCAACCACCGATCATTAGAAAACAGGGGAATGTAAGCATTCTCAATGATAGAAACACCCATTACATATATAGTTCGAATTAATCGGTGAAAAACTGCCCTGCAGTTTATCTAATATACCTGGGTTTAGCTCCCAGATCAAATGTGTCATATCAAATTTACTATATGGAAACAGCAATAGCAGCACCGATGCAGTGTATCGCACATCAGGTAAACAAATGTGCATCCCAGTATTATCATTTCCATTTTTTTTCCACTCCAGAAAGCCGCTGTTTTGAAGGGTTACTTGCTGCCATCTTTTTCCCTATCTGTGACACCCTTTGATTTGAATCTTGGCTAACACTAAGCCATGAAGTTTTACACGACGACATAGTGTCGCCTTCTACGGCGACAATAATGCAAACAAGCAGGTAACGAATATTACAGGCCGCAGTGGAATTATCAGCACAAAGAAGGCGGTAAAGTCCCCAAAGGATCCTCGGTCCAAGCGACTTTGCCGACAAAACTGGCACCACGAGAAACCCATCACACAGAAGATGTAAAAGATCAGTTGTATCAGCAGCTCTGTGAAGTGGACTGTTGCGAACGGCAATGACTTCAATCAATCTAGTAGTGAGAGTAAGGAGCATATTAAAGCTACATTTTACACCAGATGTAAACAAAAGTTCTTCCAGAAGATTGTTAAGCATGATAAGCGCATGATTTGGTTTAGTGCGTCCAAGAAACACGAGTGAAGTTATCAAATCGGGACACACCCTGCTAATAAAGACTCTCTCTCTCTCATTGGTGGCACCTGAAAAAGAACACAAATTGTGTGAAAAGTTTGTGATTAGCTTACTACAAGTCCCTTGAGACAATTTCGCATGACTATAGCGGATGCAATAAAGCGAAAGACGCCAAAGTACATTGTACATTCTTACACTTGACTCTTCTCTTAGGAGGGATGGAACTGTCATCGTGATATCTTCAATAGTACGTTGAGGTGCATTTTTCCCACTGCTTTCAGCCTGAAGAATGATATTGAGAACTGTGCTTGGCAACGCCGAATCTTCTTCAGCCATCTCTAGTAGGCACTGCATAATTTTCACAATGAGTGCATAGATCTCGCTGAAATCCGCATACTCCAGATCATAGGTAAGTTGCGTGGCGAATTGGTGCGACACTTGATGCGATTTATAAAATAGGAAAGAATAAAAATACCAAAAGAGGTCTAGCGAAATAAATGCGTTGTAGCATTGCTGCAATTGATGCGATGATATTTCATAGCCCCGTATTCTTTGCACACGATACACTGCACAAGCAAAGAGAATCCTAAAGAATGCCTCCCTTGCTCCGACTGTGCTGGATTTGCGATATAGGGCAAGAATACTTTGTAAAGCGTCGCTGCCAAGTTTGTTAAACTCATTTTCGTTCAGAACGAAGTATTGGCCTTCGCCTGTCTCATATTGGCAGAGTAAACTTTTAGCGAAGGACTCAGCCAATGTTCCAAAAACTTTTGGATTATGTGATGCTAACTGGGGAATACGTAAAAATTGGAGGAGCGCACGGCAATCAATGAGATGCCTCTGAGAGTTTGGAACAATCGCTAAGACACATTTCGCGGCAACCTCCCAAGTGGTGTCATCGTAAGGCTTGAGAAGTGTTTGGCGACTCACCACGTTAAGAAGGATCCAGATTAACTCTCTCTGCAACGCTTCAGTGCACCCTGGATACACTGCTCCCTTCGTATCAACAAGTTGGAGATGCATCCCCAGAGTCAGCAAAAGGTCGTAAACGTTATTTCGGACACAAAAATAATCACTTTCCATCCATTCGAACAAAGTGGGCAAGTAGCACACACTCACCATCCGAAGAAGAGAATAGGGAGGCCCAAATGGTAGCTTGGAAACATACCCATCACAGATTTGCTTGATTAAAATGCCTGTCGCTTTGATAACCGTCGTATTACTTCGAAAGTGATCCCAGAAGTGCGAGAGAAGACCAACCTGCTGGCCAATAAATTCATCAGTGCATACAAGTGGGAATTGGTAAACGTAATCCTTACAATTTGCACTAGTATTGTTAATCTTACTTTCAAAAGGTAACGGGCTTGGTCGGATTTCAACAGCCTCGCTGTTTTCTGCAGGGAACTCGACAAGCTTGAGCTTCTTCTTATGGTGATCTACTGAGCACTGCATTGAAAATTTAATAATGTACGCTGGTGTTGGCCATACATTGGGTAATGTTTTCTGAGTATTCGTTGGTGCACCCGGTAAACACTGAAGGGCAACATGGTTATGATATGATTCCACAAGGGCTTGAAGTTCCTTGTATATGTGAGAATACGGTGTTTTCTTCAACATAAAAATTTCGCAACTCGCCAGCACCTTTTCCAGGATTTTTTTTGAGGGTGGAAAACTAGGTATAGTGTGTAGCATCAAGAGCCCGAATTCTCTCCGTCTTGCCTCTTCTTCAGCATGTTTCAAACAGGACAAAAATACAACATCACGTGTTTCCTTTGAGGTGAGATATGGAATCAACTCAGACTTTAGCTCCTGTTGCTCTGGTAAGCGAAAGAGAAAGGAAGCCTCGAGGACGGCAGAAGAAATAATCTCAGGTCGTTGCATATGAAATTTTTTCCCTGCTCTTTTTGCTTAGTTTAAGCTACATTGGCAATAAAAATGCGATTCGAGGAATAAGGATTTTAAAAATTCATTCACTCTTCAATCATATGGTACTTTAGCATTGAAATTAAATCCCGACAAATTTTCTTATCGTGAATCGTTTACTCAGTTGAATCAAGGATTAATTTTCAAATTATGGGAAATTCTTCCCTACCTGAACACATCAACATCTTCCTACAAGAAGGACAAATCAGCGACAAAATGAAAGCGCTTTGGTGCATACGATTTGATGCATCTAAGATCCTTCAATTTGACTACAGAAGCTAGAAAATCTCCAAGCTCTTCCCTGACATGAGAATAGACTACCCCACGGGCGTTCACATTATCGGAAAGAAAATGGTAGTGAATAATGCCAACAGGAATGTCATTTCCACTTTTCTTAAGGAAAAAAACAGCCCGCTTGAGAAAACTTTTACAACATGGTATATAGCCCATGAAAACACGGTCACAACGGCCCTGCAACTTATCCCCAATAAGTCGATTGTCACCACATTCAGGTTTCACGATGTGGCTCACGCCATTCTGTATAGCATTAAGTTTCAGAAAGGAAACGCTATCTGGATTTTTTTCGAGAGCATGCACCTCGGATGGAGATCCATGCATCGCTATCGGAATAGTGAAGTAGCCAATACCAGCAAACATATCAACAACAATCTCATTTGAGGCATCTACGGTGGCAAAATGCATCCGTTCCGTTGTATTTCCACTTGAAAACATAACCTTTCGTACATCGAAACTATAACGAACTCCGTTTTCTACATGAAGTGTCATAGTTTCTGATAGAAAGCAATTCCCTAAGAGGAGGTGCAGCTCTTCCTCGGAAACATGGGAGTGAATACCTTTAGATCGTAATTCTTTCCATTTTTTCAGAATGAAGCTCCTATTTTTTTCCGAAAACGAAGAAAGGCTTGCACTTGGTGCACTGTAGACGGTGACCAGAGTTGGAATCCTCAACTCACCCTCGATTCCTTTGGTGTCGACTAGAATCACATCAATTATAATAGGCAAAAATGATTTAGCAAAAGCTTCCGCAAATGGGGAAAACTGCTCAATAGTGATATTATTATTCATGCGAACTACAACCACATGTCCGTGAACTTCATATTTACGGGGAAAAATACCTTTCGCTTCAACCAAAGAAACACTAGGCAGATGTGCTTTTATATAGTTCATAAATAAGTCGATTTTTTGAGGTGGTGTGCCCTTAAATTTAGGCTTTCTAGACTCGTTTTTTCTGCCATTTCCAACTGATCTCTTATTGGGTTTGTCGTGTTTACCTAAAAAAAGAAATCGTACAAGAATTACTAAAATCAACAAGGTAACTATGCTCCATAAGCGAGAACCACGCATTATGTATATAATGCTTTGCCATCAGTATAGTATGAGGGAAAAGGCGAGACAGAGAGAAAGACAAAAGTTTTGATTCATTCATTAGGAAGATAAGGTCAAACACAATAGCTAATACAGCAAGTTTTGTACTTCGTATTTTGTCTTTTTTGAAAGAGACACAATATGTAGCATAAAAAAAAACTAAAGATTCCTAATAAAGATCCATAGTATAACACAGCAAATAGATTTTTTTTTGGTGGGGGAATCTCTTCGTATGACCAAAACATACGTAACCATAATTGGGAGCTTTATTAATTGTTTATTGAAATAACGTTTCTAAAGTAGAATTCAGTGTCAACAAACGATTTTTATTCCTCCTTTAATCTTCACAAGTGGTAGAGTTACAATTGGTCAAAAAGAGTTTCATTATTATACTTAGCAGGAGAGTGCTTCGGATAAGCTCAAAAACAGAACTCGAAGTATTACGTAAATCCCCCAAAGAAACACTGTAAAGTAACTTGGGCTCACAGAAAGTAAAAATTTCACCTGAGACCTCACTTTTGCATTGTCCCAACCGAAGTCCATAATGAATAGTTGCTTTTTTCAATACTTTGATGTGGATATATGTAGATTAAGAAGAACTCATGTAAAAAACTTTCGATATCAAAGCGTAGGGCATGTCACCCCCCATTGACTCTACTACATCAAAATCAATCTCACAATGATTCTCTGTTATTCCCCACCATGTAACATCGAAATAACCTATACTTTGTTAAACAATATTCATCCCATGTCATTTTAAAAAAAAAAAGAATAGTGTAAATTTCAGAAAAGCCTACTTGGTGATAAATAGTGGAGCAGGTTTTTCTAATTAAAGCAAGATTTTGCATCTTGCGAACAAATAGAATAGATATACTCAAAATATATAATGGCAAATTTGAAGTACTTTTTGTCTAAGGAGGCAGTAACAAAATCAGCTTAGCCTAGCCTTTCTACGGAAATTTATCATTGCTATTATGAGCTATCTTTGAAAAAGATGTTTATTCGGATTTGTGGTAGAGTGAGCGCTTTCATTTGAAGAAGTCACTTAGAAAAAAAATAACGACAAAACTTGAAAAAAAAGAAGAGGGTAAGATGAAACAAATATAATTTTCTATAATTTAAGTAATTTTTGGTTAATTGAAAAGTACATGTAGAATAAAGCTAACGGTAAAAGGAACTTACTCTCTACAGAATTATACTCGAAAAGGAAATACATAACTAAACAGAAAAAACATATATATCAACAAACTGATACACTAGTGGAGATCTAAACGGCCTCAGCTCTTAGATTCAGAAAGAGCATTATCCATAGTTTTCTTTATGTGCGCTGTTACTGAACGTTGAACAGATTCTAGATCAACCGGAATTTCATATAAACGAAACATTTCGATCCATTCAACATCTGTATTCAGTCCACGATCTGGTGATACCTGCATTTTTTCTTCTTTAATATCAACGGCTACGATTACACCCGTAACGATAAGAGATGTTCCCAACAGTAGATAACAACACCTTTCCCCCATAGCTAGTTTTGCAAACTTTTTGTCAACCCTATCAGCCACTTTAAGAGGAGTTAAGCCATAAACCGAAAGGTCTAGGTCAACAAATTTTGCCATATACACTCCTTTTTGTGTACCCTTCGACATGAGCTGATATTCCATAGGAAGACATGAGGACTCAAGCAAAACAAAACCACTCGGTTCCTCCTTAATGCGCATACGCTTCAGTGGTTGAATTTCTTTCTCATCCTCTTCTGACGGAGCCACCGAAGTTGAATTCGATTTTGCTTCAATTTCAGGGGACTGTATATTCCCTTCAGAAAAGTCATCCACATATTGGGAGGATTCCCCTTCAAGCTTGTCCTCTTTCAAAGAAAAGGACAAGCGGGGGAAAGGTAAACTTGTAAATTGGGAGGGCCCATTAAGACGCCTAGGGAGACGACCCTCCACATGTGTCCTCAAGTTTCTTAAATAGCGAATAAATTCAAGAAGTGGAGCCAGATGCTTACTATCAGTTTGACTTGCTAACATACTTCATGACTGTTAAAAGAAAAAGAAAGAAGTAGGCAAAACCTGGATGTGGGGAATAGGGCTCTGCCCTTTCCCCCCTCCCC